ACTACTAATCAAATGCATATTAAGCATGTTATATAATGCGTTCTATTTTCAAATCACCCCAAAAATCTCAATATAAAACTCTGATTGGAAAGTTTTCATTTCAAACTAAGCAAAAAATTTAATCATAGACTCAAAAGAAAGAGAGACCTGGAGCCAGACATTGAAAGGTCTGTTAGCACCCACCAGCATCAGAGCACCGGTGCCGATGCTCCAGAGACACTAGGCATTGCTGGCAATCCAGTGTGCACTTGAAACCTTGATAAACTGAGCAAAAACATAATGCCATAACACAAACCAAAATGTGATGTCATGTTTAGCAGAAAAAGGTTACTCAAGATTTTTAAATTAGAAAACCAAATCACACTTCTGTTGTATAAAATAGGGTACAGAAAAGTGACTGGGAGCCACTAGCTTACTTGATAGGAAAGAAAGCATGTCCAGAGATGTTGAGTGATTTGCCCAAGTTTATAATCTAGGTCATGTTCTACTGATAAAATTCAAGCACTTTGAACTAAAACAATTTTGCTCCCTTTGAAGAATGCTTTGGTAGTTTTCCTTTAAGCGTTTGGTACTTATTTTAATATGGAAGAACAAATTGGTTATAAACTTCCTGTTCCTTTTACCAAAGTCATTTTAACTAGAGTCAGAAGGTGGAAATGGGAAAACCTAGACTGACTGTTCTCAGACACAGCGGGACGTCAGTCACACTGAACATTAGCGGCCCCCTTCTCCACTCAGTTCAGATTTGGAGACTATTTTTAAAGTTTTACAGGTGATTCTAACATACAGCCAAGGTTGAAAAACCATCCTAGACAGCCTGTTAATTCAGGAAGACTCAGTTTGAAAGAAAAATTTAAATACAGGACAAAATTTATCTCTATTTCCAAGACTCACAGTCAAGTATGGACCTCAATATATGCAAATTTTTAATCAAGCCTGGGTCCTTGAATTTATCCTTCTGGTGTTTTAAAAACCTTTAATTGATGAAAAACTAATAAAAGTTTAAAACATTTAAATGATGAATACCTAATCATTTCTCTTCAACTTTCTAGCTTGTATGGCAGAATTACTCCAAACTGTTATTTCATACTTCTACATTTACTAACCATCTCCTCCTAAAAAGGTAAAATACAATCTGATCTTGAATTGTTTGTCTTTTTTCTCTTGCATGGGAAAAAAAAATCACATCATTGTCCCTTCTACAGGAGACCTGGGTTGTATTAAAAAGAGATATTGTTATTTTATTCCTACTTTTAAGTTAGCCATAATTAAGAAAGTTAAAAAAAAGGGAAAAACTCTTACTTGAATTTCATAAGTTTCATTTTCAGAACATCACACTGAACCCGTTAAAAGCAAAAAGTCAAAAGTATGAAGTGACAGATTCCCTGTCTTAACCAGGTAAAAAATATGCTGCTGTAACCACTGATTTCTTTGAGTGTAACTGTTTAAAGAACTGAAATGACAATCATTCCTGAAAAATATTCTAGTCCACATGAGTAAGTATCTGAGCCTACATTTAGACAGTTTCCAAAGTCACTTCCTGCAAGGTTAGAATCCAAAGCACTATTACTGGTGAGCAGCCCCGTTTGATTGCTCCTCAGTAATGTTATCAGTCACAGGGTCAGATCTGTTAACGTTCCTCCGTACTTTATCTCTCAAGACAGCCCACCTCCTCGAGCATCAGGAAACTCTCAGCTGCTTGTGCGTACATCCGAGCACAGCCCAGCTAACACAGGATACACGTGCCTGGAATTAATTTTATTGTCAAGCCTCATTTACATCTTTGGTCTGGCACTTAGTGATATTTTGATGGTTATGAAAAAAGTTTAGAGAGGTTTTATGTTTACACCAATGTTTAATCACTGTTCTTGACTTATCAACACAATTTGCATATGCGGATGTCAATCAAGAAGATAATTTAAATGGCAAAATCAAATCATATTGAAATTTGCAATTAAGTACTGCTTCTAGCCCACAGATTTCTTGTTTTATATTTTTCAAAGCTTTGAAATCCAACTCTCTTTTGGAACTGATTTAATATCTTTAAAATTACAAGTTTTTAAAAAATTCTATTAAAAATAGATTAAGAAAAAAATTACTAAATATCAATATCCTTCTATCAGAAAAGAATTTCTCACAGAAGCTTTCAGAAATGATTCCTCTATTAAAATTTCGGGGAAATGAAGTTATATTCGTATCTCCCTTCTGAACAATCAAAAGCCTCATTTAATCAGAGTTCTGAGAATCAAGATATTCCAACTGCAAGTTTCAGCCCTACACAAATCATAATGCATTTTAAAGTTGTAAAATCTTATTTATGTTTTCAGTTAATGTTTACTTATGTAACAAAGTTTTTGCTAATATACCTAATTTCCACAAATTGTATTTTCTCCACAGCCCCATTCCCTCCACCCTGAAACTTAGATTTGGGATTTATCATCTGCTCCTTGATAATGTCATGTGCATAACTGAGGATGGTGGGCGCTCTGCTTGTTTTTACAGTAGGGACTGCTACTGATACAGCCTGAATTAATTATATTTCAAAATTTTCGGTCCTTTTTTTACATCACTGTTTTCATTGTTCTCAGGAAAGCAAAAAAGACCGCTGCAGCGTGTACACGAGGAACGAGGAAGGAGCCCCGCAGTACTGCAGCGGGCGCAGCTGAAGTTGGCATTTACGTGAACAGGCCCCTTGCTTCCTTTACTAATTTATTAAGCAAAGATATAATTGTTCTTTTCCCATTAAGTTAAGCACTGCATTTGCAACTTACATGCATATACAGTGTTCTTCCAGTGAAGTGTACAGTTGGTTCATAAAACAATGAAAATTTCAAAGATGAAATTCTGACTTAGACTACTAGCCTGTCATGTTAGAAAACAAACCAACCTTAGTCAAAACCTACATACAGTCCAGAATGCAGGCTGAAATATAAAAATTTGCTACTTTGATTTTAATGTTTTTAAAAATAGTCCCCGTTACTTGAAAAAGATGACATTAAACCAGAATGTTAATCATAAAATAAAAATTCAGCAGCATTTTAAAACTAGAATTTTGAGGCTGAGTTATTCTGCTAGAAAGTTAGGAAAACATATGCATATTATACTATTTTAAGAACATAATAAATGATGATGACAAACACTGTTTCCTTTAAGCAACATACTGAAAGATTCTACCAGAAAGTGATAATTCAAATTCAAATTAAGGTACTTTACTGAAGCACTCTGAAGTACTTTAACTTTAATACTGAAGTTATTTATTGATCAGGAGTGAATAGATAATTAGATAATTCAACAAGAGTTTTATCCTACAAATAAAAGACGAAGTGCTCTAACTTACTAGGCCACAAATGCTTTATTAGATGAAATTACAAATGCTAATTACAACTTAAAATACTAAATGCAACTTAAGAATTTTTCCAGTTTTTATGCTTAAAAGTCAACTATTAGGAAATAATGTATAATCTGAGCCCCACATTAATTTAAAAATGTTCTAGTATGACAAATCCTAGCAAAAGAAAGAATTCTCTTTATTCTAACAAAAATGTTTACCACTATATACTTTAGAAATGCAGAAATGAAATACAGCAATCAGCACCATGAACTAAGGAGAACCAAAAATGAAAGAGTGCACTGCAAGGCAGCAGACCCTATTTCCAGACTGAAATAGGAGAGAGCTTCTTAGCAAACGGTAAGAATTCCTGATGTGACAATATTCTGTGTGGGATGTTTTAAAGTGAACTGAGCTTCATGACAAATAAGAAATGTCCCATTTAAAATACAACAAAATTTTAGGCCCAGACGTGCCCTATATTTGATTTTGCCCTTCGGTGAACAATGATGGAATGCGTCTACAAGTCAGTACCCCGGGGCAGTGATCACTTGTCAGCCACGTACCCATCAATGAAGGAGCCCAAAGGAAACACGAATGAGTTAAACTTGATATACTGATGATAAGCCATATAAGGTAATACAGTGCTTTAGCAATACTGAGAATCTGAATTTAAAGTACATTTTTCTTTAACTGGAAGATAATTTTCTACAGTGGAGAAAACAGAAGTGAAAAAATCTGCTTTTACACTGTTTCTGGGATAACTGGTTTCTTAATTCAAAACGATTATTCAATTCAGAACATACTGTCACAACGTAGCATGCTTTGCAACGTTAGAGTGATCGGATGTATCAAAGAGCAAAGTGAAAGATGTCCTCAAATGATTTATTGTTTCATAAAAAGAAGTGAAGACCAGCATTTTATTATTTGGTATTTTTTTGGTAGTAAGATCTGGTGTATATATATGTGTGTGTGTGTGTGTGTGTGTGTGTATAGAGAGAGAGCGAGAGAGAGTCTCGCCCACCATCACTAAACTATTTCCAACTTACAGGCCTGTAAGTCACATACGTATAAATTGAAATTTCATTTTACACAGTATCTCTTCAGGAAAATAGTAAGATTATCAACACGCAATTAAATAATACGTGTGGCATCCAAACCACAGGTTCTGGATAAGGAACAAGCGTTTCTTCAAACTGCACATCTCGATATTGCAAGGAAACAACGTTCCCGCAGAGGCACGCTAAGGGGGACGGCTAACCTGGTTCGGACTCACTGCTGTCTGCGGACGTGGAGGCCCCGCCGCTGCTCCCGGACTCCGATGAGCTGCCACCGCCGCTGCTGCTGGTGTCGCTCAGCCGGGACCCGCCTCCCAGGGCCCTGGCTGACTGAGTTTTCTCAGCTACAAAATCGGGAAAAGACATTAAGATGGCAGCCGTGAAGCAGTCACAGGAGCATTAAAGGCTGCTACCTACGTCTTGTCTGATGCTTTCCAGAATTTAACTGAGCACTGACATCCAGTAACCGCTTTTCCAACTCTTGCTTTTTCTGTGAATGAAGTTCTTTGGACTTCATTATTTTCTTACCTGTGTGATTTAGGAGGAAAAGAAGAGTGAGTATAACCAAAAACTAACACAAATACCAGACTGATCTCTACTAATGCAAAGAGCTCCGTACCGTGAGCTTTCAGCGGCCTTTTTCTCAGACATGCAGCAACATACTTCTCCAGCTCCCTCAGAGTCGACGCTTTCAGCGTCTCAAAGTCTATCTCTATCTCGTCGGGGCTGGAATTTCTCAGTGAAGGCTCTCGGGACTGTATTATGTGAACGACTCGCCCCAGCTTATCTCCAGGGAGTCTGTTTATATCCAAACTTAACTGCCTTTTCTCGTCGTAGCTCATAGGCTTGGCGGCATCTTCATCTTCAGATTTCATAGCCAAGACCTGTTGTCGCCTCTTTTTTGGCTGACTGTAGCAAAGGTTAAACTTAATCAAATGCATTTTGATGTTATTTCAGTAAGGCAGCATGAAAGACACTTACTTGCACTTGGACTTCTTCAGTTTCATTTGCTTCAACTTTTTCCTTGGATTCTCATCTCTGTTATCAATCTTTTCTCTTTTCTTTTCCCTTTTAGGCTTGTCATTCTTCCTCTTCAGCTTACGGAAAGGCACTCGGGACAGGACCTGGAGCTGCTGATGAACTGCTTTAAGCTGATGGAGGAAAAGTTCTTTGAACATTCATGCTCTCAATTAAAGACAGTAGAGAAAAAATGAAGGCACTCAAAAGTCAGGAGATTTCTTTGTGAAATTCATTTCTTTCAGGTTGGTATTTCATTTCACAAATTCATTATTTTCAAGGGTATATATTAAATTTCAAAGCCGGTCCTGGGCTCAACCCATAAACTTAAATATTCATCTAAAGACAGACCAAGAATCATTAATATTTCCAGGTAGTCTTAAGTCCTAAATCATTGATTTTTCAGGCTGGAGCTCAACGCAGGTTAACATTTTATCACGAAAGGGTAAGTTAATGTTATCTAATGTTATCAAATGTTAAGTAAAGATCTCACCCATAAAATACCTCAGGGCGTCCATATAAATTATTTCAGCGAGAATCACCTCACTGTGGTTAGGACTACGAATAAAAGAATTTTTGAGAACGAAAAGACTATTAAATATTAAAAATGTTGCAGAAGGTAAATAAAATCACAGTTGCTAAGTGTTGTGAATGTAACAGCTGTGACAGGATTTTATGCTGCAACGGCAGCAGCAGCCCATGGGGAGAACATAAAACCTATCTTAAGGCAGGCAACGACCTGCTCCTGAAGCTTTGCAAGACGCTGAACGCGTTCATCTTCAGAGTCACCAGAAGAGTCGTCTCCGGAGGAAGCCTCGCTGCTGCTCTCTCCGAGGGCTTCCGTGGCATCCGTTCGGACGTAACACACAGGCATGCTCTCAACAGGTTCATCGGGGATCTTTGCAAAATGCGTTTCGAAAACATCCTATAGTAGATAATCAGACTGTTAAGGTTGTGTGCATTTTTAACAAAAGGTACATTTCAGCGTCATATTTGGATGAGAATGTTATTTTCCCTTGTGGCAGTCATTTCACAATATATGTGTATACATATAACAAATCATAAGGTTATATACTTTGAACTTACACAGTGTCAATCGCATCTCTGAAAAACAGGAGGAGAAAAAGATTTACCAGAAATACAATAAGACTCCTGCTTCCCTGCCTAGCAACTTCAGCAACTTAGAAAACGCCTCCCTTTTCCAGGTCAGACAGACCTCTCAGGTCACACATGTGGGGGCTTCCTTTGAGGATCTCCTGCCCTGTGGCCGGTGCATCTTTCTACTACCTCCCAACGGCTCAGCCTCAGGAGTCCTCGAGCCTTCCCTGCAGTGGGACATCGACTCCGGCCACCACCATCTCCGACAGGTGCTGTCCTCTCTGAGCTAGCATTTCCCCAGTATCTTCTGTACATGGGGTTGCTTCATTAAAATATTTGCTACTAAAGGATGTTATACCTCACAAAACAAATAACCCCACAATTTTAAGAATATAAATTATGCTTTACTACTTGCAGGGGGAGGGCGTTATTCTTTATCTCTTGAGTTACAGTTCTAAAATTTGTAAACTATGTTCAGAGGAAACTCACTTTCCGAGCACGAGTAACAACTCACCTGAAGCATTCTAGCCATTGTCACTACCTCGTGATCTGGAGGATTGTATTTGTAGCAATTCATGAACATTAATCTAACATCTGCAGCAAACTCATATGCATCTTTATATTCTTGGTTGTCCATTTTCCCCTAAATTAAGGAAAAATTACAGGATTCATAAACAATACAGTTCAGTACTTATTTAAGCATCTATGTTAAGTGTTTTTTATATTATGAAATAATTCAAACATACAGAAGAATACAGATAATACCAAAAACAAAGACCCACCATCCAGAATTGACCAATGATAAATTCTGCTGCATTTGTTTTAAATTTTTAGACTTTGAAAAAATCCAATGAATTCTGACAAGTAGACAAGAAGAAGGAGGGCATTCCAAGTAAAGAAAAGAACAGAAACGAAATCACAAAAGCAGGAAAACAGAATGTTTCCAGGTAACCTTTGATAGACCCGTTTCATTATAGGAAAAGCAGTAAAAATAAATACCTCATTAAATCAACCTTGAACATCAAAACGAAAGGTTTACATTAAATTTCTCCTGGACATGAAAAGACATTAAAAACTGAACAGATGAGAAACATCAGCATGGGTTGCATTTCTGGGAAGCGGCATATCAAGTGGCTGGCAGAGCGAGGCTGCGGAGCAGCCAGTCAGGCAGCCACTGTGAGAGGAAGGACCAGCAGACAAGCAAATCCGAGGCTGGTGGGCAAACCCAGTGCGCCGCGCCGATGGACAGTCCACGAGCAAACACAAACACAACAGGCCAGGCCTCATCTGTAATCAAAGACATACAAAACTAACACAAGAAATAATTTTCTACCACTTGGATCACTGGCAACTGAGAATGACTGCAGAGAACTAAATTAAATAAAGTCACCATCTTCTTACCCTGGGAATCCTATGACAGCCTCCTAACCCAGTCTCCATTCTGCTGCTAGAGAAATCGTTACGAGACTCAGACATGAGACTATAACTCTCATGTTTAATATGCCAGCTCGCAGCCTCTACCGTGAGAGTCTTTCATGTTCAAGCCCCAGTTTCCTGCCAGTCTCAGCTTCCCCTACTCACTGCTTCCCATCCTCCATGTGTCCCACGCTGGCCTGAAGGTTGTATTCTGGATACGTTCTTCTTACCCCAAGGTCTTCCAAGCTGCTCCCTCTGCCTGAAATGTCCCATAATCTACTAAGTCCTTTAAGACTCAGCTCAGGTTTACCTATTCCAGGTAACTTTTCATGACCTCCCAGTGTGAATTAGCATAGAGGGGGAAGTAAAAAAGCATATTTTGAAGAGACAATGGTTAAACATTTTTCTCAGAACTTAAAACAGATTGAAAGCGCTAATTTCTAATCAAGATGAATACAATTAAATGCACAAGTAGAGAGAGGAAAGACAGACGACTACAAAGAGACGACAAGCAGGCTGACAGCAGGCTTCCTAGCAGCCGCAACAGACGCCAAAAGCTATCCTCGTGCCGGGAAAAGTAACTGCCATTCTAGAGTTCCACAGTCAGTCAAAGAACCACTCAAGAGTAACACAAAACACACTTCCAGAGATACAACTGGTGAGAGTCCACTAGCTATAAACACTCATGGGAGAACCGCCAAAGCTTGCACTTCAGCAAGATGAAAAACAAACCAAGAGGGAAGAGTAGGAAGCAAGAAACGAGTGAGCACAAAAATCAGTAACATGTTAATAAACTTGATGATGCAGCAATGAGACAAAATGGTGTTGAAAAGAAGAATCAGACTTCTAGACAACAGTGAAGAACGCAGAGCACACTGAGCAGTCATCCCAGGGAAGGGCTGAGACCAGGGACCATTTTGTAAATGACAGTTCCATTCTTTTAGTTGCCTCCCTTAAATTTAATACACATGATTAAAGTTTTCCAATAATATAAAGCTTCCAAATCGCCAATAAAGAAAACTTACCAGTCCAGCAGAAGACCGAAAAATGCAGAGGATTGGAAACCACACAAATGCCTTTCCAAGAAATCCTTTTCATGTTATAATTATGCAAATTAAAATATTTTTGAATACATGAAAAGAAAATGTCCACAACATAGTAAGCGAAAATGCAGGGTAGAGAGTTACGTCACATAGTATACCTCAAACACTGTGGTAAAGAACCATGAAATGTCTTTGAATAGAAGAAAGTAGAAAGATACATTTTTAGACGTTCCCATGATCTGCTGCAGGTAATCTGACTATTTTAAATTCTTTTATCTTTTTCTGAATTTTAAAATTCTTTACGATGACAAGATTATTGATCAAGAAAAGATGTTCCTCCTAGTGAGACAACGTTTACCTTAATAGTCCTGAGGTCCATCGGGTTTCTGACGACATCACAGTAGTCACGGAGCCCCAGAGCATCGACGTCGACAGGCGTGTAAAAGGGCCAGGCATACGACACGTGCTTTTTGGCAAGCATTTCGTTTAGAATCTCATTACAGTGACTTAATTGTTCGGTTACTTTCACATTCTTTACAACTTTATGTTGTTGCTGAGAATCCGGCAAAACATTCTCTAGCACATTTCCTTTCACAGGTGGCATTTTTCCTGATTTCTTTCCTGCGAGCGTTGGGGGAGAGTCACCACTCCCCTTCACTACAGCAGTCGTAGGAGTTGTTGTATCTGCTTTCCTCTTCACACCCTTTGTAACCTAAACAAGACGATTCGACAACAGACAACTATCATTAAGGTGACATTCAGAGCAACGGTTCTCAAACTGTGATCATTAACTTTAACAGTTAAAAAAAAAGGAAATGATAACCAGCAGCAAGTCTTTCATGTATTACATGTCAGGAAAGGTTAGTCTTCCTTTTACAGGTGAAATAAATAGTTCAAGTATTTTCTTACCACAGCCCAAAGAACTGTCTTGTGCAAACCTTCGAGACCAATGAAAGATGAGGGGGAAAAGCAATCACAGTTACATCAAAAAAAAGTTCCTGAGAACATGAAATCAGCGAGGGCACACAAATTTAGAAGAAAATTATCAACCCACCAAGTTGTGAGCCAATAAAAGTTACATCGCCAAAAAATGTACACAGACAACAGTCAGAAGACTGACTGCTGTATGCTGCAAGGCCAATTTCCATATCAACTTAAAAAAAAAGATGCAGACATCATGAACAACTTACACTGAAATATTTTAAAGCTGCAGGACACTCACCTGGGCCACTGTCTGTGAGGTAGGATTGAGTGGAGCACCTAGTGCCATGTTTGAAGGAGAAACTGGAATCTCAGGAAATACTGAGGGAACCACTTGCTGCTTAAATATTTTTTCCAGTGCATTGGGGGACTGTTTTTCTTTAACAAAAACTGCTACATTCTGTTGAGTGCCTAGTAAAGCATGAACCAGAGTCAGTATCTGAGTAAAATGTAAAACTATTTTTCTGCTAGTATCCTATATTAATATTCAGTTCAGCTTTTTACGGCAGAAATGCAGTACACTCCCATTCCCCTTGGAGACCCTCCCATACATACTCGCTGACAACAGTAGACTGATTTAGATATAATACTGGAGACTTCAAAACCTGTTATTAATGGTAGGCTTATTAATTTTATTCAAAAAAGATGCCTGGCTTAAACTCAGACCACAGAGTTTGGTGATTTTAGCTTCAGGTAGCTGTCAACATTAGCAAAAATTTCGGGCATCCTGGAGACAGCTATGTGGTACTACATGAGGCCTTCAGAACACTCTACATAACACATCCCAGGAAGACTGTTTCACAGGGTCCACTACTGGTTGACACAGAACAACAAAAGTGAACATGATTCTCTTATCAATATATCTTTCATATGATCTTGCCAAACAAAGATGTGCACATGTTCTTTTGCCCTGTATGTTCCCAGAGCGTGCTAGGACTGGAGACATCTGGATCACATCACCCCGAAATCCATACAGTTAGCACATGGCATCCACAGGTCTCATCTGTGGATTCAACCAACCTCAGGTGCAACTCAAGGTTACCGAGGATGACTGTACTGTGTCATTTCATATAAAGGACTGACATTCGAAGGTTTTGGTATCCATGGAGGGGTCCTGGAACCAGTCCTTCATGAATTCTGAGGGATGACTATTTCAAAAGCCCATCCTTCCATCAAGATAATCCCATTCTTCCACCTTCTCTAGCCAACACTCTTGGAGTCGTCTTTGACTCCAGCCTCTCTCAAATTCAATATCCAATCTCACAGCAAACTCTTCCTCTCTATCTCCTGATCAGAGTCCAACTACTGTTACCAGCAGTAATGAGCTTGGATTTCTGCAGCAGTACCCGAAGAGGCCCTCCTTCTGCTTTTCACATCCTACAGTCTATTCTCAAAATAGCAATCAAAGCGATCTTTTAAAATTCAAATGAGATCATGATACGTCTACTCAGTGCCCAAAGGCTTCTAATCTTCTTCTCAAATAAAGACCGAAGTCTTCACAATGGCTTGTAAGGACCCACGTGACCTCTCTTTCCCCCACCTCCACCTTCCTTCCAACCTCACTTTCTCCCACTCTCCCCCTCACTTTTGTACTCCAGACTCCTGGCCTACTGTCCTCGGGCTGGTAAGCATGAGCAGACCACCTGCTGTGCCTGGAAGGAGAAATGCTCATGGCTGACTCCAGGGGCCTTTCCTTAAGTGTCACCTTCTCAAGCCACCCTGTGTAAAACCACCCTCTCTGTGCCACACTCTCTAGTTCTCTTGTTTTTTTCCATGCCATCGTCATACTTGACATACAACATACAGATATCCCTGACTCTCCGTATTCTTGCTAAACAAACTCAAGAAACAAATAGACTTGGATGTATTGTAAGATAGGGCTGGTACTCCTCAATCTCCAAATTCTCACTACTCCCGAATTAAAACTTAGGAATCAAATAGTTTCAGATAACCTCATATCCTTTGCTATCCCAACTGTTGCTGTTAGAACTCAGGAGCTAAACAGATACGTGCAATGAGAAGTACCTACAGCTACTTACTTTCGCCTCCTTCCCCAAAGAGAACAAAAAGCTCCGTGAGGGGAAGGGGGCTTTGTTCTCTTCTGTACCTCTCGTGCCTAACGCAAGTGCTTGGCACACAGAGGCCTCAGTAAGTATCTGCTGCGTGCCTACTGCGTGCCAGGTCACCATCCCAGGGGCTGGGCACAAAAATGAGTGAACAATAGGGACACAGTCTCTATCCCTGTGGAGCATACTGCCTAGTGTAAGGGACAAAAAATCAGCAGTCAGAGTGATTACAAGTGAAGCTAGGTGCCAGAAAGGAAATAAGCAGGGTGCTGACTACATCACGGCAGAGACCTGCTGCCAAGAAGTAGCCAAGGAAAGCGTCCCTGAAGAAGCACAGAGCAAGCAAGATGTAACCGTAAAGATAAGAAGTGTCCTTAGCCAGAGGCCAGGGCGGCAGTGAAAACGTGTCCCCAAGGGGGGCGGGCGCAGCTCAGCAGTAGAGGTCGCGAGCTCAATTCCCAGTACCTCCGTTAAACATAAACCAACCAACCAACAAACCTACCTACCTCCTCCCCCATGTTTTTAAAATGTATTCCAAGACAATTAGCACGGAAAACTTGACTCAAGCGAGAAGGAGGTCGTCAGGATGAGAATGAAGGATTAAGCAGAGATCAGACCACAAAGGGCCGTGGCAGAAATTTAGACTCCGTTATTCCACGGGAGGTCAGAGAGGCTTTCTGCAGGTGAATGACATGTTCCAGTTTATTTTCAAAAGACCACTTCTGCGATCATGCAGAGAAGAGACCAAGCAGAACAATCACAGACACCCGGAGTTACAAAGTGGCGACCTAGACTGGGCTGGCTGCAAGGACAACGTGGAGGCTGAATCCAGATGACTCACTGATGAACACAATGCGTGAGAAAGCAAGCAAGTCAGGTGCAAGCTTCAGTGTTCTGGCTTCAACAGCTGTGCATCAGTGCCGTTTTTTTTACGAGGAATAATCTGGGAAGATCAGTGATCACCTGTGGGCATGTTACGTGTGAGATGTACGGAAGACATCCCAGTGGAGATGTCCCGTTTGAAGGCGTGAAGGTAAGAACTGGTTACTCAGAGAAGACTACATCAGAGATGTAAACTTGGGAATTAATAACGCACAGATGGAACTTAGGAAAAGAGTATCTAGTATCAAGCCCAGAAAAATCTCCAGTATTTAGAGACCGACTGGAAGAGGATGGTGAGGCCAAGAGGACTGTGGGATGCGCAGTAAGCCCACACAACTAGTGTGCACGAAGAATCAAGGAGACAGTAGCCTTCTAAAGCAAATACTGAGAGATGTCAAGCGAAATGAGGACAGAAAGCTGCTACTAAAACCCAGCAACATGGAGACTTCCGCCAGGAGCACTTCAGTGAGGCAGCAAGGCTGGAACACGTGCTGAAGTGAGCTCAGGAGTGTGCGGGAGCAAAGGAAGCAACAGGACAGTGGCCGAAGATACAGGGAAAAGGTGAATTTTAAGGATGAGACACCACAGCATGTTTACAGAGTGCGAGGACTAATCTGACGGAGAAGGAAAGATTAACGACGCAAAACCAAAGGAAGAGAGTCCTTAAGAAGGCAAGGAGGGAAGCAAGACCCAGGTCACACATGAAGACAACGGCCCAAGCAACAGGAGGGGAAAGAACCCCGCCACAGGCCTCTGCCCTGCCTGACCCCTCCACCTGGGATGCTGTTCTTTGTCAAATCTTCACTTCTCAACAAGGCCTACTTTCAGCTGGTCATGTTTGTCTCTCTCTTGCTACCAGAATGTAAATTCCAAGATGGCAAAAGCTTTCATTTTATTCATTGATGTATCTCAAGAATAAAGACTAGCGTTCTGGTACATAAGAGGTGCCCAAATAGTGTTCAATCAATCAATCAACACCAGTTCAATTTAATGTACTAGTTAAAATTCTTTTCTTTGCCATAAAGTGTCAGCATGTAACTACACTATCTAGGCTAGCTACTGTCATATGGCAGTTTCCCTCCCACTGTGCGCACAAGTGACATGACTTGGGTAGCAGAAAGCTTCTCCTGTAAGTTGTCTCGAAACCTGGACCTTCACACCAAAGCCAACCCCCACCTGTCCATCAAGGCCAGACTCAGATTCCGTCAGCTCCAGAGCCTTGCCCAGCTTTTCCAGCGCAAATCAATTCCTCAGTCTTGAGCCACAGAACACAACATGTAATTTCACCTGGCATTTATTATAATGCAGTCTTATTATTTTAAAAAGTTGTATTTCTAACTAAAATGTAAAGTTAACTGAAGAGTTAGGGTAGTTACATTTTTGTAGCCCCAAAGTATGTGCCTTAAAGGGGACAAACATCCAAACAAACTGACAGAAAAACAAAGCCGAAGAACTTTCGTCTGAGGGAACGCACTGACCTGAGCATCTGAAGAGGCGGCCACAGTGTGACCGTCAAGACCGTGTGACAGGGTGGGTGGTTGTTTTTTAAAGGAGAGCATTCTAAAGGTAAATAACTCCTACCTTGCTAGAGATAATATTTTAAGTCAGCAATAACCACCACCTTGCTCTCACAATTTAAATACCATCCTGGTTTATGTGCTATCTAACTTGCAAGGGCTTATTTTAAACCTCTTGTGGAAGCCTAGGCTTACAATTTCAGACTTCAGATCAATCTTTTCCAAAAATAAGAATAAAGTAAAAACTTTAGTAAACAGTGAACAGCCCACAGGATTGGTTAAAGCAATCTATAAATCATGATCCATCTTAAAGATCAGGAAAAAAATCACATCTATCAATAAAAACAACTTCAGTCATCACTTGAAGTGGCACAGGTCTCTTGCATCCCACTCGCTTAACACGTGTGTCACAAACATTAACAACCACTAAAGCCAAAACTTTTCCTGATATTACACATGAGGAAACTAACATGGAATGGTGAAGGAACTTAACCAAGGTTTATAGCTTCAATGACGCAAAGATCAACCAACATTGACCTACGACAATCTTGGTTAACCTCTACAATAAACCCATCTGAACACTTAAGATGAACTTTGTAACTCCATATTTAATTATTATGATTATTAGCTGTAAAATGTTTCCCCCTAAAGTTCTGAGCTAAGAAAGAGCTAGAAAAAGAGAATGTTCAGACCCAACAATAACGTTTCATTCTGAGCTACGGGATCTTTGGGTATGGAGAACGCTGGCAATTTTGGCTCTTATTAGTAGAACACAGAGACATGATCCCCTAGAACAGTAACAGCAGCTATGACTTGCTGGGTGCCTACTATGTGAATGGCACTGTTCTATAGGAAACCTGGCTCCAAGCCCAGAATCCACGCAGTCCTCCCTAGTCTTGCATGATAGCCATGCTTGTGCTCAAGGTGTAGCAGACTGTTAAAATGGACATTTTATACCAATAGAATAGGATGCAGAAGGACGTCCAGGTGTCTGCCTCTCTGCGGGATTTATTATTTGGTTCTAGTCATTATATTTATATACACACACATTCAAATACACAGGAAAGAAAAAGAAAGGGATATAAACCCTTTCTTGCTTACCTTTCTTCACTCTTTCCTTACCACTCACAACTTGCTCTTCTTGTGGCATCTGAGATAATATCTGCCTGAACAACTTTTCAAGAGTTTGTGCCATAAGAACAATGTCATCTCCAGGCTAGAAAATACATGAAATGTAACGTAAGTTTACACAGCAAGGCCACTCTCAAGTTGCTGCAATCCCGGCCGCCACGGAGGAGGCAGCGCTACAGCACCTTAGGCAGCATTTACTAAACAGCTCTTACTACTTCTAAAGAAAATCTAGAAAACAGTACAGCAACTCATATTTAAAATTCAAACATTCTACCCCTTTAACTTCTAAAAAGCTCTTAGGATGCCTTTCTGAGCACTAGAGGGCTACAATCCAACCAATCCCACTAATACAAAAAGGCTAGAAATCAGAATTTCTACCTTATAAGTAGGTTGAAGCAATACTTGTTAATGGCTGTGCAAAATAGCTTATGATTTCACTTGATGTGATTCACTTTTCAATTAACTAAGCAATAAAGTGACACTGCAAAGCTAAGTTTTAAAATCTTAACTATCTGCTTAGAAGTCTTTACCTTGCTTTACTTCACTGCTGAGAAAAAAACTAATTACAAAGCAAAAGCCCAAAGCAGAGACACACTTCTAAGTTACGCAGTTCAGGACAATTACTGAACTTTCGTTTTCAAAAGTTAAATGTAAGAGGACCCTTTGGAATTGTTAAATTAAAATGAATTTGCCAGTGGTACTTTCAGAATACCACTGATTCTGATTCTTAAAAGATTCATACTGGCTAATGGTCTTAAATCGATTATACATAAGGTGGCCCTGATGAACCAAAACAACATTTCTACTACATTTCAGTGTCACCAGTCATTCTGAATAAATGAGATTTAAGTTTAAAAATTTTTAGATCTCACAGAACAGCCTGAAAAGGATGCAGTACTTAGGGAAACAGTACTTAGAGAATCCTGTGTGGAGGAAACGTTGAACACCCAAACCCAGTGTTACAGATGAAAACAAAGTGCAGGCTAAACTCAGAAGGCCCACATACATGATTATACAGGCTGCCACATTAACACAACTGTGAATATTACTGCTAGGATATAACAGAATGTGTCTGATAAACTCTGAGTTAACTTGTATGAAGTTTAGAAGTATGTAATTTGGCCTCTTAAGATACAGCCAAGGATCGATACCATAAAAATTTAACCAAGATTAATGTAGAATAAGATTTATCACTCATCTTATAACTAAAATGGCAGAGGTGTACTAGAGAATGTTCTGAAATAACACTTTACTCACAGAAACCAGTTATCATTGATATTTTATTTTTTTAAACATAAGCCATTATAGCTATTCAGACAAAAATATAGCAAAGAAAGCAAAAAATATAGCAAAGTGAACCAATATTGATATGTTAAAATTATGAAATGGAGTAAAAAAAATTATCCTTAAAATCTGTAACGTACCCAAAATCAAGACTTGAAATTTGAAATCAGCGCACTTGCTTATACACATCCTGTATGTAAGAGCAAACAATTAGCAAGTAAGTATAGCATAAGGCTCACAGACCTTGTTGTATAGGTAACAATTTGAGAACATTGTATTGAAGTCTTCTATACATTCTGAAGCTTTCACATAGTATTTATGTTCCAAGCGCTTCTTAATTGTATTTAAATCCATTGGGTTTTTTACAATGGTATAATAATCCTGTAAGAAGAAATTCTAAATGTTAGTAGTAAGAATGAATTCACTACAACAACTGGTAAACAAAGCATTTAAGAAGCTATACACCCGCCAACTACAAAGAGCAATTGACTACCTTTAAAAAGCCATAATGTAGAACCCAAAACCTTTCAGCAACGAAAGACAAAGCTGACTGCCATGGAGTCAGAGAAGGGGAAAAAGCCAATAAATGAAGAATAACACAGATGTAAGAGTAGAAGCATTCTGGAAAGTAACACGTGAAGGGCATGAAGAAAAAGGAACTAGAATTTATGGAGTCAGATCCAGGATACAATCCTAGCTCCAAGTTTACTAGTTATATTACAAACTACTTATCAGATGGGTAAAAATTCCTAAGCTTAGTAAGACCTAAAGTTGAATTCTGTGTGTGAAGCACTTAAGTCTGCTGGGAAGTGTCGAGTGACTTTTTCAAAAAGGAGACATTCATGACAGCCTTGCATCAAAATATCAAGGGACATATGCTATAAACAAGAAAGTCTAAGGCTACAATTTATCACAAACTGCTAAAATAAGAATTTCAATTCAAAATTTCTGAATTTTCGGTATCAGAATTTCCATCATTTTAAGGTTTAGTAATATTCCAAACTATGTATACACCAGATTTTGCGTTCGACTTCAATGCTCAGAAAAATGAGGGATTTTTTGTTTAGGAAAAAAATACTCATTGGGATATTCTTTAGTGGTGCTGAATAAATTAGCTATTTATTAAATTAAATATATTCCATAATATTAAAGACTATCTCTTTGAGAGGAAATGTATAGGGTTTTACTTTTTTTTAAACTAACACAATTACAAGACACACTTACAGGCAACTTTAGTTTGACGGCATCTACAGGCTGCTGAAAAGGCCAGGAGAAACCGTGCCTCCACAAAGCCTTCAGCAGGACTTTCTGCAGATACTGCAGCTGATTTGTAGATCGCCCACTCTTCCTCGTGTTTATATACTCCGGTGGGGGAGGGTTAACAAAAGCTTGTTGACTTGGCAGAGACATTCTCAATTGCTTCAAATCCTTGTATGCTAATGTTATCTATAAAAAACAAACAAAAGAAAACAAAAGACATAAAAACTGAGTTACTTTTAAAGTACCTTTAAAATGGTTTTCATAGGAAGTGAAAAGTTTTCTTCAAGAGTGGTAGGCTTCATATTTTAAAGCAGATCATAATTAAGGCAGCAAAAAAAAAAAAAGCCAAATGATAACTGAATCCATTTGTAAACAAATACAAACCTTTTTCTATGTAAGTACTAAAGGTTGTTTCATTATATATGCCTTAGTTTTGGATGATTTAAGTTATTCCAATCTTTTCCAGTAATTTCTTTCTGCCTTTCTTAAAAACAAATTGAGATCTTAGCAGGAAAAGTCTGTAAATTCCTGGTAAAAAAGAAGTAACAGGGAATGTTGAAGATAATATGAGTATACAGTTATTCTACAATCATTGATATATGAAGGGAGAAAGGCAAAGGGATTTTTCTGGCTACTTTAAATAAAATGATTTATTTTAAAAGCTAATTATTAGGAAGAAAAATGACAAGTGTTAAAAAATGTTACTCTTTAGTGAATATTATTACACCTAAAATAAAATAGTTTAATAAAGGTTCATGAGTATTTCAGAAAGTTGGTTTCTTAACACCCCTGGACGGCATTATCACTTCAAGGATAAAAGAGCAAAGGTACTACCAAGTGTATCAGCAAAATGAAAAGTATGGTTATCAAATAAATTGTCCATTTTTACAGACCAGTGTTAATATTTACCTGGTATGTCTTTTTTCTTCTTTTTTTTTTGCATTAAAGTGTGTTAGTTCTCAAGTCTCGCTGCATATTAAACACTTGTGGATCCTTTTTTAAAAATTGTGGGAAAATACATACAGCATACAATTTACCGTCTTTACCACTTTTAAGTGTATAGTTCAGTAATGTTAATTGTATTCATATTTTTGAGCAATTAAATCTCTAGAACTTTTTCATCTCACAAAACTGAAACTCTAAACCTTTTAAACAACTTTTCATTTTCTCTCCTCCCGGCCCCCGGCAACCACCACCCCATTTTCTGTTTCTATGAATTTGACTATTCCAGGAATCTCATATAAGTCGAGTCATTATAGGATTTGTCTGTTTGTGACTGGCTTATCTATCTTAGCATGTCCTCAAGGTTCATCTGTATTGTAGCATGTATCAGAATTTCCTTCATTTTAAGGTTTATTAATATTTCAAACTATGTATACACCAGATTTTGCTTAACCATTCATTCATTGATGGACACTTGAGTAGCTTCCACCTCTTGGCAATTGTGAAGAGTGTGCTGTTATAAAAACATAGGCGTATAAATATCTCTTCAAGATCTTGCTTTCAGTTCTTAAGGATATATCCCCAGAATTGCGGGAGTGGAACTGTCAGATGACACGGTAATTTTATTTTTAATCTTTTGAGGAATCCCATACAGTTTCCCACAGCAGCAGCACCGTTTCACATTCCCACCCAGAGTCTACAGGTTTCCAGTTTGTCCACATCTTTGCAGTACCTGTTAGTTTCTATTTTCTGTCTGCTTAGTATCATCCTAATGGGTATGAGGTGTTGTGGGTCATTTAAAAAGTACCTATGCCTAGGCCCAGCCTCTGGAGATGTGGCTTGGGAATCAGTTTTGTTTGCTATTTTTTTTAAGTTCCCTTTTTGATAATAGACTTAAAGTACTCTGTGATTGAAGGCTGCAGATGGACTGGCCATGGACAAGAGCTCTGATAATTATCACTGGGCCAAAGAAGAGCTAATACTTGGCAATCTGATGATGATTTCACAAGTGAACGCTCTGCATTTTCTGGCTGAATTTTCCCTGGTTTCTTGTCCACCAACAGAGGACTATTATCCTAGTCTTATTACTCAAAGTATTTTAATCTTCTGTTCTGTACTTAAGTTTTTTTTAAAAAGGAGCTTATGTGGCTTTAAGTGATACTTGGCAGATTTTCTGTTAGATAGTTGCCAATGTCATTATTTTATTTTACATTCTCTAAAGACTTTTATTATTAATTTTAGCTTTTACTTTTTTAAAATTGAAGTATAGTTGATTTATAATGTATAAATTTCTGGTGTACAGCAAAGTGATTCAGTTATATATATGTATATATATTTTACATGTTTATTTATTTATGTACTATTTTATATATAGTACTTTTGTATCTGTTAATCCCAAACTCCTATCCTTTCCCTCCCTCCATTCCGTTTTGGTAACCATAAATTTATTTTCTATGCCTGTGAGTCTGTCTGTTTTGTAAATAAGTTCATTTGTATCACTTTTTAGATTCCATATATAACTGGATATTTGATAAATATCAAATATTTGATAAATATCAAATATGACATTTGTCCTTCTTTCTGATTTACTTCACTTAGTATGATAATCTCTAGATGTATTCATGTTGCTGCACATGGCATTATTATATTCATTTTCATGTTAGCTCTTATTCTTAATTATTAACAGAAAACAGAAAATGCCAGCATAATGGTCCAGCAACATACCCTCCCAAAAGATTTACCTTATTTGACATAATGGTGGATCATACTCAGGGGCCAGAAGTAATCTGTTATTTAAATAGACTGGGTACTTCAGGGCTTTCTCTAAAATCACTCACACTCCAGCGTGCTGAGCTGCGGCTACAGTGCACTAGCCACCACGCAGAGCCCAGAGCCTGCAGCCCGCACTGCCTATGTCCAAATCCACGGTTGTTTCCAATGCTTATGATGACTTGCCATTTTATTGTTATTTCTGCTTCGAAAACATTTTTTTACCCATGGATATATTTCTAAAAAGAAAGACAGCATGGGCAGATGAAATCTAATGTTAATAAGAACTCAATGTTATGTAACATCTACCAGTCACAATTGCTCAAAGACAATGTATCAAATGTTCAAGGTATGAAAAGTTCCGGTTTACTCTGATAAAGACAATCATGTAACAGTGTAGTAGCAGCAGCTTCTTGTCAGTCATCCTACAGTTCCATGAGCAAGTCGCTTGAAGATCAGATCCCTTCTGTCTATACAATAGTTGACTACAAAATAACCTCTACACAGAATTATAAAATAAAAAATTCATTTGAATTTTAACACCCACATGGTTTGAATGGTATACAACTTTCCTTTCCCATTCTTGTCCCCTAGCCAACCAGATCCCCCCCTTAGCCTTAACAATCCTTTTAGAAATGGCCTGTTTTCTTTTTTTAACACTTAATTCATTTAAAAATATGTCCCAGGGCAACCCCTCCCTTTTTAATGGCTGCATCGTTCATAATTTTATTGATGTGGGCATTATATATAACATTGCAATCCTTGTTAATAAGTAAATAAACCATCGCATACATATGCCGGTGCTTATTAGATATATACTTTTTTGGTGGGTGAAGGGGGTGGCTAGCCTATTGGATTTGTTTCTGTTGACAATTTCTGGGCCAATGCCTTTAAATTTTGCTAGATGCTTAATGGTTCTCCAGAGGTTATTCCAATTTATATTTCTAACATCAATCTACAAGAGTGAAACTTTAAACGTCTAAGAAAGAGAGCCTTTGAGGTGGTTGTGAATATTTTAGTCATCCCTGCCAAATACATAAAGACCAAACATTTCCAAATGCATACAAGCAGCTAAAAAACGTTTCCAAAATGTTACAAGAAACATGAAAGTTCCCCTCTAATACAACCCATGCACAGGCATATCAGGAAGAGTCTGATTCTGATAAAGGTTTTTCCCTCTCAAAAAAAATCAACCTGATCAATTTCTCGGGTGTGCCCCCCCCCCAAAAGTTTAATCCTTCAATTACTCCCTCATTGGCGCTGGTATTAAATTGTGTTGCCCTGTATGCATGCTGAAGTCTCAAGGAATTGAGCTGATTAAAAAACAAAAAGTGTAAGTTAACATTTAGAGCTGAAATTGTTTAAGACTTTGAATAAAGATCGCCTAGAACTCTTTTCTCAGATACTCCATATAACAACTCCCCTCCTGAGGATCCTTGCTCTCCTGCCTGTGTCTCCGGTACATCTACACTAGCTTACCCTCCACGTAAACCTTCTCAAGTCTCCTTAACAATTCCTCTTGATCCTATTGCATCCTTGTAGCCTTCATCTTCTCTCTTCTGTACCTCATACCAGAGCATCCTAAAAAATGACATTGTCTTTACTCCCACCTCACACTTGATTTTTTCTTCCATTCCTCTAAAACTCCCCTCACACAAAGGTTAACACTTACCATACTTAGTCGTTAAATCCAATGGATTCTTTTTCAATCTTACACCTTACTTGACCTCCCAGCTCCGTCTGTCACTAGACTATTGTGACTCTCTTGAAACTCTTTTCTGGTTTCCAGGATACCACTTTTCCCCCAGATTCTATTTGTTCATTTCTTAAATATTAATAAAGCACCTACAGTGGTGGTGCTAGCATTTGGAGATACAATAATCTCTTTATAGAGACTTATAAATAAGCAATTACAACAGGATACATATAATTATTGCTGTGACAGAGGTAAGAACAGGGTGCTAAGGGAACAAAGGTGGTCAGACTGGACTTCCAGAGGATTTCAAATCTCATCTTCTGCTGACCCATTAATATCCCCCAAAGCTTCTGCCTTTGCCCTCTTTTTAAACTCCCCTTTTTTCAGATCTCAGCCACTCCAAGGTATCAAATACCTCTAAATAAATGACTTGTGGATATAAATTTGCAAATTCTGAATACTCACGGTGTTCCTATTTTCCATCTCCCAAACCACTCCTTTTGTTCAATCACTTGTCACTTCACACCTGAATTAATGCAGTGGTGATGCTTTGATTTTTGTTCAGCAACTTAGTATCACAGTGTTCAACCTATGGCCCTTCACGATATACAAATCAACGAACTCCCCAACTCTTTTCTGCCGTCTGCCTATCTCACTAGACCCCTCTTGCTACTCTCCCAACACTATACCAGCCACATTCAAAAATCTGCCATTCTCCCTCGTCCCACCCTACTCTGTGCTCACGTAC